AATCAAGGTATGTGGAGAAACATTAACAACAAGAGTTGTTGATTCAAAGATTTTGAGATCTTTGGCTCCTAAGTTCGACCACATGGTGGTGGCTATAGAAGAGGGGAAATACTTGTCGAAATTGACAAAGGAAGAGCTTCAAGGGACGCTTGAATCTCATGAACAAAGAATGACTGAAAGAGTTGCAGGCAAGTCGAAGAGTGATATGGCTTTGCAGGCACATTCAGCAAAAGAAACCAAAGGCAAAGGAAAGTGGTTTGACAGAGGTAGGGATGGCTATAACAAATCGACTGGTATAGGAAACTAGAACGAATGAAATGTGTCGAGTCAGAGAAGATCATACCAAGGTAACCAAAGAGGTGGTGTTACAAATAGAGGAATAGGTGGTGGTCGAAAACTTGATAAGAGTCACATTCAATGTTACAATTGTCATAAGTATGGTCACTATTCAAGTGATTGTCCAGAAACGTGAAAGAATCAATAAAGTGATGCAAAGTTTGAAAAACATGAATAAGAAGAGATGATGATGATGGTCACAACAAGATATGAAGATAGATTCAAGGACCGATTCAGAATGCTCATCACATATTTCTGGAAGGAAATACTGGTTTGTCAACATAAAGCCCTCAATGAAAAATATGGTAAAATTCACAAATGACAATACCCTAGTAGCTGAAGGTATTGGTGATATTATGATTATGATGAAAGATGGAAAGAGGTCAGTAATTTACAATGTGTTGTACATATCAGGCACGAAGAGCAATTTGCTCAGTATAGGGAAATTGGTCGAAAAGAACTATAAAGTGTCGATCGAAGATAAGATGATGAGAGTCATCGACGCAAATGAAAGATTAATCTTTTGAAGGCTCCTATGTCTCAGAATAGAACCTTCAAGATCGAACTAAATGTGATGGAGCACAAGTGCCTTTCGACTGCAGCTACCAGAGATGAATGGATATGGCATTATCGACTAGGCCATATCAACTTCAGAGACATCAGAGATTTGAAGAGAAGAAATATGGTTTCAGGATTTCCAGAAATCGACATTCCAAACAAGGTATGTGAGGAATGTGTGCAGGAGAAGCAACACAAGAATAGATTCAACAAGGATGCGGGAAGCAGGTCGAAGGTTATTCTTGAATTCATATACTCTGATGTATGTGGACCAATCCAGGTGGATTCGATGGGAGGTAACAAATACTTTGTTACATTCATATATGATTTTAGTCAAAAGCTGTGGAGTTACCTGATCAAGAAGAAAAGTGAAGTGATCGAGGTATTTGCCAAGTTTAAGTCTATGGTCGAAAGACAAAGTGGTCGAAAACTCAAAGTTTTGAGAACTGATGGTGGTGGAGAGTATGTGTCGAAAGACTTCGACAGGTTATGTGAAAAGAAGGGGATTGTGCATGAGGTGGTGCCACCCTATACTCCACAGCATAATGGAACTGCAGAAAGGAAGAATTGAACCATCATGAATATGGTGAGAAGTATGTTGAAAGGCAAGAATTTACCTAAAGAGTTTTGGGGTGAAGTTGTGTCGACTGCAACATACATTTTGAACAGATGTCCTACGAATAATCTAGAAGGAATTACTCCAAAAGAATGTTGATCTAGTATGAAGCCTAACTTGAGTCATCTGAAGGTATTTGGATCTATTGCACATATACATGTGCTAGATCAGTTGAGAAGAAAATTTGATGACAAGTCGAGTCAAATGATTCTAGTTGAATATCATTTGACATGAGGTTATAATTTGTTCAACCCAGTGAACAAGCAGATTATGATCAGCAGGGACATGATCATAGATGATCTTAAAGAATGGGATTGGATTGAAAATGTCAAGAAAGATTTAGTGGAAATCCTACTTGAAGAACCAGAAACTCAAGTTGAAAGAGAAGTTCGACAAGAGAAACCAACAGTTATAGATCAACCAAGTAAAAGCAGGCCTCAAAGAATAAGACACATGCCTGCAAGATTGCAAGATTGTGTGATTACATCAGATTATATGATAGATAATGAAGTTGAGTTAGTACATTATGCTTTCTATGCAGATGTCGAACCTGTCAATGCAGATGAAGTATTGAAGGATTCGAAGTGGGTGAAAGCAATGAACAAAGAAGTGAAGTCTATCGAAGACAACAACACTTGGTCACTTGTCAAATTGCCTCAAGGCAAGAAGGAAATTGATGTCAAGTGGGTATGCAAAGTGAAAATGAATTTCAAAGGGGAAGTAACTCGACACAAAGCAAGGCTTGTGGCGAAAGGATTTCTACAGAAAGAAGGAATAGACTTCGATGAAGTTTTTGCACCTGTTGCTAGGATCGAAACAATCAGGTTAGTTATTGATCTACCAGAAATAAACAGATGGAACATATGTTAGATGGGTGTGAAGTGTGTATTCCTGAATGGATTCTTAGACGAAGAAGTTTATGTTAAATAATCAGTTGGGTTTGTGAAACATGACGAAGAGAGAAAGGTGTACAGGCTGCATAAATCCCTGTATGGATTGAAACAAGCTCCAAGATCTTGGAATACGAAAATTAATAGTTTCCTAAGAGAGAAGGAATTTGTGAAGTGCACAACTGAACATGGAGTATATGTAAGAAGAAAAAAATAGTGAATTGCTTATACTATGTCTCTATGTCGATGATTTGTTGATAACAGGTAGCTGTAAAAGTGAGATCGAAGACTTCAAAGGTGATCTCAGCAAGGAATTCGAAATGTCTGGTCTGGGTGAGATTTCATATTTCCTTGGCATCGAATTTTACAAGAGCAGTAGAGGTTTGATGATGCATCAAAAAATATATGCAGGAGAAATTCTCAAGAGATTTGAGATGGAAGAATACAACTCAACTTCGATACCTGCAGAACCAAGACTGCAACTGTCAAAAGATGCAGATGAAGATGAAACCCAATACAGAAGACTTATTGGGTCATTGAGATACCTTTGTCATACAAGGCCTGACTTAGCATATAGTGTAGGTATGGTAAGTAGATTCATGCAGAAGTCAAATGTATCACATCTAGTAGCAGCGAAGAGGATACTAAGGTATCTCAAAGGAATTCTCGACTATGACATTTTGTTTCCTGCAGCTGATAAAGGAAAAGAATGCAAGTTAGTGGAATACACTGATTCGAGTTGGTGTAGTGATGGTAAAGATCAAAAATCAACAACAGGATATGTGTTTATGTTAGGTGGTGCATCAGTTGCTTAGAGTTCAAGAAAGGAACCAGTAGTGGCATTATCATTATGCGAAGCAGAATACATAACTGCTTCTCTTTGTGCATGTCAAGCAACTTGGAATGTGAACTTGGTCGAAGAGATAACAGGGAAAGATCATGGAGCAATTACCATGAAGATCGACAATATATCAGCTATCAATCTGGCGAAGAACCCAATAGCACATGGTCGAAGCAAGCACATCGAAATGAGGTTTCACTATCTTCGAGAGCAGGTAGCAGATGGGAAGATGAATTTGGAACACTGCAGAACTGAGAATTAGATTGCAGACATCATGACGAAGAGAGTGCAAGTTGAAGTATTCAGAAGACTAAGAACCATGATGAATATAGATAGTTTAGACACAATGAATTAGTTGGTGTATTAAATTGTAATTCGATTGTGTCGAAACAGTGTGTGTGTCGAAGGGAGGTTGCCCAATCGAAGAGCTTGTGGATCGAAGCAAGCTACACACAAATTTGATTGGTTTTAAATTTAGATAAATTTGATTTATATCTAAAATAGATAGATTTGATTTAGTACCAAAATGGAGATTTTGGACTTTTATAGTTTTGAGTTTTGGCTTATGAAGCAAGCTAACCTAAATCTATAAATAGAGGGAGTAACTCCCTAATTTTGTAATTAAGTCAATTCATTGTAATCACAAAATTTGCAGTTGTAAGTGATTAATAAAATTTTTCCACAGTTTGTTGGCAGAGAGAAACTCTGCAGAAAATAATTATCTTCTTTTCTCATAATTCATTGTCATTGTGTGGTGATATTAATCTTGTTCATCAAAATTGATAGAAATTCATCATAGATATTTGATAGATTTTCAATAGTTTATTGACAGGAAAAATTAAAATATTATCTTGAACTTAAGCATCAACCATCAATTTGTATAAGTCATTCAATTGATCACCAAAATCAATCATCTTAGAGATCATATGACTGAAGGGAAAGACTTGGATGATGGGAAAATCATATTTGCTTATTGGAGCAAGGATACAAGTTGTTCATACCTGTCTTGAGTGAGGCAATCATTGTAACTTGTAAAAACCACATCACGATGCCAATTGAATTTTGATCTTTAGTAACTTCACCACTAGATGCATTGGTAGAAGTTGGTATTGTTCAAATTGAGATGTCCATGTTTTTTTTTATAGAAACACTCAACTATATGGCAATGTCTATTACAATGAATGCAAAACTATGAACTATTTGTTATTGCTAGAACTACTTAAACTTCTTTTACCATGACCACGTGATTTTCTTGCATCATATGCATACAAGAATACCAGGTTGTACTGGTGGTGGAGAAGAGGGCAACGGAATAACAAACTTTGCAACAGACATTTTTAAGGATCAAGAAAGTCCTTTCAAATAGAAAGTTCTGATGTCATATTATGAATAAAGAAAAGCCAGCTTCATTAATTGGAGCCAATTGAATTCAAACACTAAAGCACATCAGCTTGAGGATTTCAATTAGAAAGTTCTGATGTCATATTATGAATAAAGAAATGAGAGCTTTGCCAATAATTAGTGAAATGGTGCAACTTGAAAATCAATTTACCAGAAGAAAATGAAGTCTGCATTAGTTCATTTCCAGTATCAAATGACAGATTAAAAAAGTCATAATTTACCAAATTGAGATGACTAAACTCAGATACACTAATAAATTTTCAGCACAAGGTTCCCTATATGCATTTACAGCTATCAATGATTGCTTGACAAAAAGAGCAAACAAGATAGTTTCTGTTGTACTCAAGAGACATTAAATTTAGTGATCATCTTCGTTGATTCCAGGGCAGTTATCCAAGAGGGTAGAACTTGATTCATACTGGAGATAAAAGAAGGGAAAGAAAACTCAATTTGTATCGAATATTCCATTGCGGTATCATCTTTTGAAAATATAAGAAAACATTTTAGATAAATCACACGCTTGCTTACTTTACATCCGCAGAAGAGGCAGTAATTGAACTCATCCCTCAGTTTCATCAAAACATCAAGCAAGTCCTGCATTCATTTCATTGTCAAATTTGCAAACGATTCAAACACAGATAAGATAACCAAGTTCAATAATAATGAAGTTAATACGAATTATTAAGTAACACACCTCTTCAGTTATTTCTTCTTCTTCCTCTTCTTCATCTTCACCCTCGGCATCATCCTCATTCTTAGGCGGCTCCTCAATTTCCCGATTCTCCAATTGGTCAAGGGCAGCCTTAGCCTTATTAAAATTAACAATAACTCTCCTACTCTTCCACCGCGATTTCTGCCTAGACCCAAATTCTTCCATCAGAGCCTCGTCATTCCTCCTTTTCCTGTGGGTTGTGATTTCCTCCCTTTTCTTTTTTTCCTTATGAGGATCCTCTAAGCCTATACCAGCTCGTGACCGTCGAATTTCAATCCCTACCGGTTCAGCCCGTCCCGAGCCCTCCTTGCCAAGGGCAGAACCTGGAGTATAACCCATGTTTTGGAGAAGCTTAAACCCAATGTTGGATTGTGGGATTGGAGCTTCCACTTTTGCTAATGTTTGTTCATCCTCTTGTATTTGCTTCCTTTCTCTTTCAATTTTTCGCCGTTCTTGCCAGTTTAGTGCTTTCAACTGGCTCTTGGAAGAGTTTATTGAAGGACCTTTGTTGTCAGAAATCTGCATAGTAACAAGGGAGTTATCAACATAACATTTTGCATAGTCCCTGTAAACTGCTAACTGAAAGATACATGCCCATGTTTTGAATTGACTACAACAACAATAACAACCGAATGGTCTGCTACATGGATCAACTCCCGCCATAATGTTCTGTCCAGGACTGTTCGTCTATCCACATCATTAATCTCGAAAACTTTTTTAATAACTTCTCTTATAGTTTTTCTAAGTCTTTCTGTATCTATAACAGTTTGACTCCTTTCCATCTGATTTACTCTTCTTACGATAGAATTTACGGGTCTTCTCTCTACATGTCCAAACCACCTAAATCTATTTTCCACTATCTTTTCTACTATAGATGCTACCCCAACACTCTCTCTAATATTGTCATTTATAATCTTTTCCTCTCTAGTCTTACCACACATCAAGCACAACATCCTCGTTTCTGCTACACTTACTTTATTCTCGTATTGATTCTTAACCGTCCAACCGTCCTCCATTTCAACCACCTAGCTTGAATTCGATGTGTTGGGGAAGTCTGGAGAGCGAGGTTCGGAAGTGTCAATGGGACAAACGTTCATGGTTACAAGAGACCTTGACATAACATATCCACCCAAGACCTTAAGGCAATGGGGGTATGGATTTCCTCATTTTTTAGTTGATGTGAGACTTTTAACACGACTTTCACACTTGAAACCCAACGCAATGTTTTACACTCCCTTCCATAAATACTAAAAAATTATTCTTTCAAAGAAATATGGCACATAAAAATCTTATATTTTCTCAAATTGCATAGATTGCTAGTACCCTACATGCACCATAAGTTTCTACACAATTAAATTAAATATTCTCTCCTATGAATTGTAGCTACAGATTCTACAAAATAAAAACCTAAGCTAAATTTTAAAGGTCAAATTGTAGAATAATTCGAAATGAACAAAATTTTACCCTTTTTGAACTAGTGTTTGGATTTGGAGGCTGAATAGAATCAGAAGGAAGAAACCTAGAAAGGTCACCCATGTAGTCATCATCTTCGTTGTTCGCTTCTGGTTCAGCCATGGCCAACGCTTTCACTGCAAGCAGGTGATGAATTGAACGCAACCAGAGATGGGCCTGCTAAGGCCCAACAAGTTTCATGGATCAACTCACAGCCCAATTTGAAGATTTTATAACAAACACTCTTTTAAGAATTTTCTTTGTATCTTTTTCTAAGTTTTTTAAATAAATTTTTTAATTTCATTATTTTTCTTTAATAACATAACTCGTAACATACTTCTGAAAATTTATATCTTTTTAACAACTAAATTTTTTTGAGAAAAGGGATAATGTACTGTCATTAAACTCAAAAAATTTATGATTGAAATATTAATTAGTTTGGTCTCTTTAAAAGAAATTTGTAAGAAATATTACTTGTTATCTTAATATCAGTTGATGAAATTTTTTAGGTGGTGAAAATGCTTCAAAGCACTTAAGAGTTTTAATTCAATAACAATCGAGTCTTATCTTATTAAACGAAATATGTTATATCTATTTTGAGTGCATGATTTTCTACAAAGGTTTTTGTGTTTTATAGCTCCAAAAGCAATTATAATACACTTTGCAATGTGTTTGTCCTTTGAGTGAAAGCATTATGAGTGCAGAAAAATTGGTTGGAAATAATCTAACACATGTTGCTCAATGTCAGTAGGTTTAGTCAATGTGTATATATAGCTTCACCATTTTTCACCATGGATACGTTCTTTTTACAATATTGATTTTGGATACTCTGGATATAAATTGTACTCCTATCCATTGAACTAAACAATTATTGAAAAATAAGGTGAAATGATACAAAGACAAGAAATTCAAGTTAAGGAAGGAATTTTATGGACAAATCAAGTTTAAGAAGGGTGTTGTATTATAAACTTGTTTTGATTCATTGAACTAATAAAGTCTTAGGCTCATTTGTTGATATTAGTAGTATAGTCTAAATAAAGTTCTAGAGAGATGTAGAAGTGGATTAGTGGAATAATAATAACAAAAGTAAGTAGTAGAGAGAAATATGCAGAACTCTCTCTATTTTTCTCTCTCTCTATCTCTCATGAAATATGTAGAATAATCTATAGATGTAAAGCAAGCTAGTAGAAACTAGTAAAAGGTAGTAACAAAGCAAGTAGAAGCAAGTAAACAAACTTGTAAAACGTATTTTCAATAGAAATTATTATTCTCTCAATTGTCTCTATTTCTAATTCTTCATAAAATCTCAATATAGTTTATTCCTTTTTCAACACTTATTCCTCAACTTAAGAGCTGGCGTAAGTCGTTTTACTTCTTTGAGCCCAATTTAATGCAATCTTCATGGCATGTCTGTAACATTTAATATTTAATTAATTATTTAATTAAATATTTTCAAATATTTTTTCGATTAAATTTTCGAAATTGTGAAATGTTGATTTAAGTTGTGTCGTTCTTAGTTGAATTAATTAGTTGATTAAATTGTATGATTAATATTGAATAATACTATTATTATTTATGTGGACCTATTTTAATGTTAGAAGTAGTAGAAAGCAATGTCTAGAAATTTAAGTTCAACAAGGCAAAATAAAAATAATGTTATAGTAGTTATATTATAATAGATGTTTAGAAATAATAGGAAAATAGAAGTATCAATAGAAAGAAAGAAGAATAGGTTTTGGCAGAAGAGGAAAATAATGGTTTTGAAAGAGATACATAGAAGTGAAAAGAGGAGGAAAAGCTAGGTGCAATAGAAGAGTTAGAGCAACCTTCAATCCAAGGTAAGGGTGAGGTTCTGACTCTATAATAGTGTATGTGATGAATGGTATGTGGGATTAGGTTGTAAAAATTGTTTTTGTTTGTGTTTGAAATTGATATATTGTTGAAATTGAGAGATAATTGAGAATTCAATTTAATATATAGACATTGTAGTACACTTAGAAATCAAAGTGAGAATGGCAATACTGTAGCGAAAAGTGATAAAGGTCTCATATGTTGGCACTGTAGCGAAAATGATAGTGTCTTATATGTTGGCACTGTAGCGGAATTGATTAGTGACTATATTCTTAAGAATATATTGTAGAGATAAAGACTTAGTGTCATTAGTGATACCAATTTAGGAATGTGTTGTAACAAATGTTAAGATAATATACTGTAGCGACAAACTTATTAATTGAATTATGTTAACATTACTGATTCATATATCACACACACACATACACACACATATATATATATATATATATATATATATATATATATATATATATATATATATATATATATATATATATATATATATATATATATATATATATATATATATATATATATATATATATATATATATGTTCTGGACTGGGCCCGACAGGCCCAAAAGCATTACTAAGGCCCAGTCCAAAGGGACTCACTAAGGACCACACTGGGCAAAGGGGGTCACCTCCATGCCCGACACCCTGATGTCCACCTCGACATCTCGGTGTCTAGCCCCACGATGAAGTCCTGCTCGACAGAATGCCGTCCAACTCTATGTCCTGGCTTCCAGCTCGACACCCGCCGTCCAGCTCGAGGTCTTGGCGTCGAGCTCGGCACCGTGCTGCGCAGCTCGACATGGTCTCGAGCTAACTTGCTAGGGCAGACTTAGTCTTCCATTGCCCCAACGATACTCCGGAAAGACCGCGTCTCCGTCCGCCCGCATTTCATGCAGCATATCCAGGAAGGGGACCACGTGCTGGTCCCCACTACCCACGTAGAACCTGGCAGTTCCTCCATTGGGCCAAATCCGCCCAGCCCAATGAAGGAACCTTGGCCCAGCGCTGGGGGCTATAAATACCCTCTGCTTCCAGAGGGTCAGGGATTGATCATTCTAACCTCAACTCTATTATCTGCTCGTACTCCCACTGACTTTAGCATCGGAGTGCCTTGCAGGTACCCCCCTCCTCGTTCAAAAAGCCTTCAGCTCGGAGTAAGCCGTGACGGTCCAAACCTTCTGATCAGGTCAGATCAGTGGCGCCGTCTGTGGGAAACAGTTTCCCCGTCTAACGAACAGTTTCAAAGACCAAAGCTCAATCCATTCACTGTCATGGCCTCTCCAACTCGTGAAGAACAACACACCCGCGTCCTCGATGCCAACAACGGTCCCGCGGACAAGAATGGGCAGCTGGACATTCCCAGTGGTGCCGGCCACAATACCGTCCCCGTGACAACCGCCCCTGGACCTTCCACCCGCAGGGACGGGAACACTGCGTCCTCCTCGACAACTCCTCCAAGACTCGAGGACGACCCGGAGGCTCTCGCCTATCGCCAAGCTGCCCGGTTCTATGGAGTCCAAGTCCCTGCCGGGGCAGATGCCACGACTCAGGCACTGTTCGCGGCCATCAACCAGACGAACTATCTCCTGTTCGCCCAAGGAGAAAGACTAAGGGCACTTGAACATGATCGACGCCCCCCGAGGAGACATCAAAGGCCACCATCTCCACCTCCTCGGGTCGAAGAAGTTCGACACCCTACTCCCCCGCGGAGACATCACAGGGAGAACTCTAGGAGCCCCTCTCCCCCACCAAGGCAGAGGCGGCCCCAGTATGAAAGACAACCCGTCATCCCTGCCGAAGAGCCCAGTCGCGACCCATCAAGGCACGACAGGAGGCACAACAGAGACGGGCGTGTGACCTTCAACCACCGAGCATCACGCTCGAGGGAGTCTCAGCACGACCAGCGTGCCAGACATCACTACAGGACCCCTTCTCTTTCTCCAGAAAGGAGCGACGAGGACGACCCCCGCGGTCCCCTGTCGCAGGCAATCATGGACGCACCTATCCCCCCGGGCATGGAGAAGCCCCCACACCTAAAGGAGTATGATGGAGTGGCGGACCCAGTCGACCACATTGACGGGTTCGAAGCCATGCTCCACTATCACAATGTGGGGGGGCCCATCAAGTGCCGTCTCTTCCCAACAACTCTCAGGAAGGCGGCCATGGACTGGTACAAAGGACTTGCCCCGGGCTCCATCACCTCGTGGCGGAACTTGAAAAACCAGTTCATCAGTTCCTTCACAGCGTCTCGTCGCCACCCAAAGACCGAGGCAGCCCTCGAGGCCATCATCCAAAGACATGATGAGACCTTGAGGGAATTCATCAACCGCTTCAACCGGGAAGCAATCCAGGTCCCCTGCGCGGACCATATGAAGAGGTACTTGCTGGAGAGGGGCCTCCTCCCCGGCACAGAATTCAGGAAAGCTGTGGGCATTGAGCCGCCTGCAACTTTTGATGCTCTCCTCGACAAAGCCCGAGCATATATGGACTACGAGGAGAGAGAAGCTGCCAACAGGGCACGAGACTCCAGGGCTCGCAATCATGGCAGCAGCTCGAGACAAGACCCTCCTCCCCGACGCACCGGAGAGAAGAGGAAGGAAGACAGACCCCGGGAGGTCCGGGAACAAAGGGGCCCCTCGGGCAGGTTTACTGAGTACACTCCGCTCACGGCTTCCCGCGAGCGTATTCTGGCGGAGTGTGCAAGCACAGATTTTAAAGACGGTGGCGTCAAGCGTCCCCGACCAGCTCCTGCCAAGCCAGGAGTAGACAAAAACAAATACTGTCAGTACCATAGGAGTCATGGTCACTTGACAGAGGACTGCGTCCACCTGAAGGACGCCATTGAAACCCTTATCAAAGGGGGAAGACTGGCACAGTACAGGAGAAACGACGCTCCCCGTCGTGAAGCCCGCGAGGAAAAGGAGCCCGAAGAAGATGCACGACCATCTGACGAGTCGGTGCCAATCCAGACCGCCTTCTCGGTAACCAGGCCCGAGGATTTCGAACTTCCCGAGCTCCTGCAGGAGCCCCTGACGACACACAGCAGGTGGGAATACTTCCCCTCCGCCATGGTCATCAACAGGGGCGGGTTCAACGACCTCACCATCAACTCAGCCAAGAGGAAGTTGGACGAACTGGTCGATAAAGCTCCTCCCCAAACTGTGACTTTTGAAATGGTGAGGGGCAGATCAGAGCCTATCACATTCTACTTGGAAGAGCTCCCCGGCGGAGCACCGAACGCAGTCATCCCCTTGC